AGCAGTGACGTACATGATATCTTCAGTGGGGTGTGCTCTCCTTTGCAGACTTTACTATGGCTACTATGGCAGCAACATCGTCGAGCTTTGCTTTGCGAGTACGTTGATGCGCGTCAACATTCTATTCTTGAACAGATGCTGCAGTAGTTTACTTTCGAGGGATCTTCAGTCTAAGCTTCCGTCAGTTGTCATCAACAGCTTTTCCTGCGCGCTCTTGCCTTAAGACGGGGTGAGAGTTGCGTGGGCGCTGGCCGGCACCTCAGTCCGTGCTGAAAAGGGTTTATAGGGTTTAGGGTTTATAGGGTTTATAGGGTTTAGGGTTTAGGGTGATCTGTGTCCTGTGGAAGGGTCGCCCTGTGTAACTCAAGCCAGAATATGCACTACCTGCCGTACGAATCTAGCCTATGATTCTAGGGCTATGCGATAAATAGCTTACTACTCGTAGGTTGCACGCTGCAGATACATGTTTGGAGCCGTAAGCTTTGAACATGACAATTGCTCCCGGCATCGTTTTTGTTTTTCTGCTCTTTGTTCCCGAGCTGTCTGATTGCTACAGCACACCACTGTCCACCAGCAACCAGTCTCAACAGCTTGACGAACGTGCCATGTACTACATGCGCCAATCTCTAATTCTATTACCTATCTGACTTATCTAATTGCACAGAAGTTTGTTTGATTACCGCGACCAGTTCTGCTGCCTTGAGCCGTCTGTTCTGGGACTCTGGGATACTGTCACTTGCGTTGCCATAATGTAGGGAGGCAGCTTGTCCACAGCTCCGACCAACTGGTATTTGTTATACTGCGGCAGTTGTTGCGCTGCTGCTGTTGCTGTCACGTTACTGGTTCTTCTTGGTCCTGGTGCGTGGTTACGCTTGAAATATTGTCGTATTCTACATCCTGTTTGTTTCTCTCGAGATCTTACACTACATTCGGCCTGTCCTGTGCCGTGACTTCGCCTGGCCACCAAGATTTGTTTGCCTGCCGGCCAATCGGCGGACCTGCTCTCCAACATGGAGTCTTCAGAGCTGAGTGGTGTGACTTTCCGCAAAGGCTCAGTTCCGAAGCTTCAAGCATATTGCCTTTCCATCAGTAAGTAAGCGGACTGGCACTAGTAACGATCGGCATATTCAGAACTGGACGTGGCAACAGTTTTCAGGACCGCATATCATGTGTCTTTTCAAAGCTGGGGCTCAACCTTTAGCCAAATTTGATCGGCAGTGCTCCCGCGCCCGAAGCACGAGCCCGCTGGCCGGCATGCATGCTTTGTCTTGCCCCTTGCGGAAGTGAGTTGACGAATGTAGGGCTCCGTTAATTAAGGGTTATTTTTGGTTTTGCAAGGGCTACTGTAAGATTCCCAACACGGGTTACTGCGTACATATGTGAGCATTCCTCGTTGCCCAGCTGATGATGCCCATCCCGGTTCGTTCCTAGTTTAGTTGTGCTACAGGAGTCATGTGGTAGCCTGCAGCCCAAAACCCACAGCCCTCAGCCCCAAACTCAACCCTAAACCCTCAACTTCCCAAACAACACACCGAACCCTGAACAGCCAAGGCGATTGCTCTGTCCCACTTGTATACCAATCTCTTTCGAGCCTGGCCCCTCCTGCTCATCGCTGCTCCGCTGCCACTTTGGCCAAGAGCGGAGGACCAAGTCTTCTAGTAATTACTATCATTGAACTTTTGGCTTTTGTAGCTTTGGAACCTTTTGGGCTTTATGCAGTTCTCGAAAGGTAGTGTTTTCTATGAAGCCGTTAACTTAATAGTCGAGCCACAGCAGAGCCTCGACACGCAATACTCGAGTTGAGGTCCTGTTGCGTTGCCCTGAATCGCAGAAAACAACATCTTGCGGCTTTCAGGATCGAAGCCTTCGGCTACAGCACCAGCATGGAGCACATATTGACATAATAACCCGGAGCAAACGAACTTGTGATCATAGGTTAAGTTAGATGTTTAAAGCACCAGGTTTACTTAATTGTTGCTTCAGTTTTGATGCCGACGGGACAAAGATACGACGACAAGTCTGAGCCTTCTGGCAGAACTCCTCCGCCACACCGTGTATGTATCCCGTTTGCTAGCTGCTAGCTGGGACACGAATCCATTGGAGCATCGAAGATGCTTTCTCGCTATTAATCCTTTTGGTTGAACCTTAAGACGACAGTTGGTTCCAGCATTGCATGAAGACAAGACGAAGACAAAGATGCCCGAAAGAAGATCCGAAGAACCAATCCAGCTCAATCCCGTCGCTTCGTTTCCGATTCCTTTCACTTTGCACACGAGGAACATGCAGGTTTCCTGCGCGTCTTCTTAATTCGACAGGGCCGTTGGCAAAATCGAACTCTACAGCTCAAGCTCCCAAGAGGGAACAGCCCAGAGTTCCGAGGCTCAGCGCGGCCATCGGCTTCGCCTACTTGAGGCAAGCCCGTGGTACAATGAATTTGTGTTGCCCTAACCCTCCAGATACCTACTATATAGGGCCTTAGGGGCTCTAGTACCCTATATAGTAGGTACCTGGAGGGTTAGGGTTGGGTATGCTTGCAGCTGTTGCTGCGCTGGCGCTTGTCTTATTGCTGGTGCCGGGACGGGAAAGCACTCGGCATGCTTTTTCACCTGTAAATGCGACTCTGATTTTCTCGTTCTAGTGCAGCGGTTCTGAAAGTCATCTGGGTGGTGAAGCCGTTTCGTTTGTGGGTCTTGTGTGGGCAAGAAGTCAAGTTGCCATAGATGTGTGCAAAGATCACTGGACCTGTTTATTCAGGATATCGATTGCCTGATGTTTGCCGTTCGGGCAAGCAATTGGTATGTGTTAAATAGAGATGTTGGTCAGCATATGCTTCGTTTGCACCTATAGTTACACATGCTAAAACCTCACCCCTAGCCATGTTGGCTTAAGATCTCGATTGTACTCGGTGTGACCAAGCCCCTCACAGACAGAAGCACTTGCATCATGGCCTTCTGCACTGCCTGCTGCACTGCCCCGGACAAGTCTGAGCTTGACTTGGGCTCGAAGCCGCTGGTGGATGCCAAGGGAGTGCTGGACAAATCGCCCGACCAAGTTGTGGTGGAGTCCGGCATCTTTGAAGCAAAGCTTCGCTACGAGGGTCGTTCGCACGGTTTGGTGGTCGACACGGCCAACGACGAGCAGGCCATCATCAAGGATGTTACGGGAGCTGGCCTCGTTTGGAACCGCAATGCCCCAGAGCACCAGCAGATCAAGACGGCCGCCATGATCTTGAAGGTGAACGGAGAGGCTGTGACAGGTGAGAATGTGCACAGGAAGCTTGCTGATGCCGGGCCGGAAGCAACGCTGACCCTGCAGAAGGCCGCGGAGAGGAACTTGGTTCTCCACAAGCCTGGGCAGCTGGGAATCACCGTGAAGTTTGCGAAGTCTTCCTACGGAATCTGGATCGCGACTTTGGCTCCAGGTTTGGTACAGGATTGGAACGAGAAGAATCCGGACCAGACGGTGTCTGTCAATGACCGTATCGTCTCTGTCAACGGAGTGACCGGCCAATCCCAAGACCTCGTGGCAAAGATGCGAGAGGTGTCGGATGCCATTGTTCTGGTTGTGCAGCACTACGAGTGAGTGGGACGCAGGTCTCAGCACGGCTTAAGGCCCAGATCACTTCAAGAGTTCTGATCTGAGAGGTCTTTGAACTTCTTTGGTTTCCGGTGAGTGGGGCGCAAATCGATTCTTTCCAGGAACCGTGTGTTTTTCTTCTAGAACTAAAGCATTGAGCGCCATGGTGTCGAATGCCCTGTTCTTGCCTGCAAGCGCCGCTCCCTGTGTCCAATTGAAGAAGTGCCCGCCATATAGCCTTGGCTTTCCTCGCAGGTTTGCGCAGCACAATGTGCTCCGCTGTTACTGTCCTTCTCATTCCTTCTCCTGCACCTATGGGCGCATGCCTCGCCTCAAAAATCCGTGTGTGAGCGTAAACTCTCGAGTTCAGATGCAGCAGCACAGTAGGCCCCCGCACGACCCTGCACCCAAATCAGCCCGAATGCAGGGGCCTAAGTAGTTACCTATACTATTTTGGGGGGTTCCTTAGTATAAGTATACTATACAGGAGCCCAACACTTCGATGCTAATTATTAAGGCCCCTACCTATAGTCTCCATTGTAGTTCCTTTTGGGGGATACCTTATAAACTCCTTAATATATAATTGGTTAAAAACCAAAAAAGGACCTACAATGGAGACTATAGGTATATTACGATAAACCTTAAACTCAAAGGCTGGTAACTGACAAGTCTTCCCAAGCGCCAGTCGCTCGAAGTCTAGCTACGTGGAGAGCAAGTTGCTGCTAATTTGCTACCGACCCCCATATCACCGTAGTAGGTATATTATCCCATAAAAAGGCAGCTGGGCTTAGCTTCCTGCTTCTTTTCACTTGGTTTCTGTACCGTGTGGAGTTGAACCCCTTGTTGACTTGTGCATAGTTTTGGGGCTCTCAGGTGTAGTTCGTTTAGAGGCTTAGGGCTTCAGAGGTTGAGGCTTTTGGACTCTTGAGCCTGATACTATCCGGTACTCCGGTGCTTGAAATCCGAGGCTTCGAGCCCTGACATGCAAAAACCGAGCAAAGATGGCAGAGTCAAGCGACCATCAGACCTGAACCTCGACAGGTTTCTCAAAGCAGAGGCCCAGGTGTGCCTTGAATGCAACGGGAAGCTTTGGCACCTAACTTCGTCCTGCTCAGGATCACCGAAGACATGCAAGTAATCGACGTAGAAACGGTGTGCGGAGAGAAGACATGAGCTGATTGCATCGGCAGTCTGGTGGTGGCATGCCTGGCCCCACGAAGGATCGTAGCCCACACATGTGCTGAACAGCTTACTCGGGTGCTGACCTGGTCTCGGGGGTGACAGCACAGGACCGCGCAACAACAGCAGACAACCCCACTGAAGTTCGCTTACCCGACCGCCTCAGACCTGTGATGTGCTAAGGGTATTCTGGGTTAGCTTCATTGTGGTGGTCGCTTGCTTGTCCGTGGCGGGTGTCTACTACCTGCAGGAGTACGACAGGACACGCGCACGGAATTTGAGCTGTTCTTGCTTCATGGCTGTGTGTTTAAGCCTCAGGGTGCTGCTCATTCTGCCTTCCCAAACATGTTTGTATGTGCGTGTGTCTGATTTTGGATCATGGCCACCATTGTCTCATGATCGGGATTCGTACCAGCCGCCACCACCCTCCGTCCGATCGTCATCATGACCCACTTGACCACAGCGGTTTTTGTATCTTGCCGACGCCTGCCAGTGTTGAGCGCACTTTGTTCGTGTTCGGACGCTGTTTTCAGTGCATTTGCAGGTGGTGATGGGTTGTTACTGACAGGACAAGAAATGAGGGTATTTCATGATGGCAACGGCTCGTGCCGTTGTTTGTGGATATTGACCCGGTTCTTGGTTATCCATGGCGCCTTTGTCGTTGTCAGACGTGCTTCTTTCAGCATGATCAGCACCATAATTTTTCGTGTGTTCGCAGAAACCCTAACGGTTCAGGGTTTTAGGGTGAGAGAAGCCTGCTGCAAAAAGGGTGCTTGCTGTTTGTTGGTGGTGATTGCAGTGGTCTAAAAAAGCGACGAAGAAGCGAGGTCTTCTCTGCGCGGAGTATGCATCTAAGCCACCCTTTACCAGTACAGTAAAGTATAACTGTATATCACATCTCGAGCTTGCGCTAGCTTCTAGCGCAATGCATGTGACTTGCATCCATTCCGCACGGACCGGGATTGTCTCACAAGCTGCGCACCTTCCTTTCTTTAGTCCGGGACTCCCTTGAAAGACCTCAGCCTCAGCAGCTCTTCGAGGAGACGCAACAATCAGGATCATGAGGACGACGAGGCATCTGGGTAAAATGGGACTGCACATCAGAGCCTGGAAGAGAACGAATCGATTGCCTGGTCGAGTGCAAGATGCTTTCAAGATTGTTCGCAAGAAAGCTTCGTCAACGGGACGAACTTAATAATACCAGTACTGTGTACTAAATACGGTAGTAGATAGGGTCGTGTTTATGCCACATTGCCAAGAAATCTTCCCAGAGCACTAGAAAGGCTCCCCCCCCTTTGTGTGCAAAAGCGGAGAGCACGTAATGGGACCCGAATCTTGCAGCTTGCAGCGGGAGCCGTGTACACTCGTGGCAGAAACGCGAACTCTGAGGATGAGGAAACCAGAGTACCCATAGGCCCTTAAGTAGTTCCTTTTTGGAGTTCATATATAGAATCCTATAAGGTAATCCCAAAAAGGAACTACTTTAGGGCCTATGGGTAATTCGCACGGCACTTTGGGGAACACCATTTAGGCAGGGCTCTTCAACTTTCTCCGTCGCTTACCTGAACCAATTGCGTTTTTTTTGGGGGGCTTAGCCTGAGGCTGCCAACGGCGACCTTCTGCTGCTCGTCTCAGTGGGCTTGTCTTCTAGGAGGACTCTGGAGACCTGTGGGGGCCAGGAGCTTCTTTCAGCTGCAAGATCACCTCTAGGCCTTCTGATCTGCGCGTCGTGGGCTTCGAAGCCGGCGCTGGGATGCGCTGGGGACAGTCGTGCTTTAGACACATTTGGGCATGCAAGCCTGGCGCGTTCTACAACATAAGTGTAGAGGATTGTTATCATACAAACCTGAGCTAGCTGACCAGCAGCTGCCACCCAGCTGCACAAGCCGCAGGGCAAATTGATAGAGTTTCGTCATGTCCATGTATTTGCGTGGCAGCCTCACTGGATCAGATATTGTGTTCGTGATGGGTATGACCCGTTTCTATTTCTGCTAGGGTCGATGGCTGAGAGCTCCGCTTTCAAACTTCGGATCGGAAGTCAAGCCAAACAAAGCCGATCCCAATCCATGACCATTCCATGGCACTCAGATATGGGATTGTCGGCACCTCCCTGGCCGTGCTCACCATCCTGGGCACATGTTTGAGACTTGACGAAGAGCAACTGCAGCTAGCTGCTTCATTATATCTCAGGAACTCCGATGAAAGCCGGAGGGTTCGTGGTGTGACACCCCACCCCATCGGCCATGAGTTCAGCACCAGTCCCGAGAGAGCCCGTTGAAGGGGCAGCTGATTCGGCGAGGAGACATGCAAGCCTCAAGCAGGAGCTGTAAGTCTGCCTGCTTTGCTGTCGGATTCCGGATAGGCACTACTTGGCTACCGTAGACAGGATGTGGCCTCTACAGCTTTACAGAATGCCATTGCCATGACCACGCTTCTTGTGGTGTTCACTTGTATCAGGTTTGTCTGGTGTTGTAAAACCGGCAGCCGTGCTACTGCTGCTGCCTTGCGAAGACTGAACGGCCTGGCCCTGTTGCTGTTCGAAGCATCCGAGGAGTCGAGATAGCAGCTTGTCTTCAATGAGGGAGGCGGCCTCGATGTGTTTCATTTTGCCATGCAGCCTGTGCAACTCCTCCGTTTTTTTGCCTTGTATCTGATGGGTGCGGTAGCATGAGAGTGTAAGTCCATGTGTGACGACCTTCTGATGGCCAAGCTGCTTCATGACTTGATGTCCCAAAATCAAATTGAAACGGATCAGAGGTTTTTGAGTGCGTTGCGAATAGTTTGCCACTACCCCTGGAAGCCTAGCAGCCTGGAAGCTACTATTTGGCACCATAGCCTTGCGCTGCCTCATGTGCGGCATGGCTCATGCCCATATAGCTGATGAGGGCATCCTTGCGGCAGGCACCACATATTCCAGCATGCGCAAGCAACGTCCACGGTTCCATGAGCCCTGGGTAAAATGAGACGGTACAGAGCGAGAGAGAGAGAGAGAGTCAGAGAGAGAGAGAGAGTCCCGATGTCTTGATGTAGAAAAATTCTGTTTTAGCATGGGATGCACATATATATATATATCTGTGTGTGCATGCATACATACATACATACATACATACATACATACATACATACATACATACATATATATATATATATGAGGGTTGTTCTAAAGGTCCTTGTCTACGGTTTATACAAGATCGGCAATGTGA